TGCGGGGTCGGCACTTTGGAGCGTGCTGGGATGGGCACGGCGAGCCCCTTATCCTGCTCCCTGAAAGCCGTCCCCTCCCTAACACTTGCCATGCGCTCGGCCCAGCTGGGATGAGGTGATGGCAGGGGGCTGCCCTGTGCCGTGGGGACATTGTAGGGGCTAACATGACACACGGGGGCTCTTGCACCTTGGCCTCCTTGGGACCTGGGTGTTCAGTGCCACACGTGTCCCCATGCTGTCCTGCAGCAATGCCCCATGCCACACGTGTCCCCATGCTGTCCTGCCTCCCTGCCCCATGAGATGGCGACAGGATGCACCCAGCATGAAGGCCACGCTCTTCAGAAAGGCCCCTGGCTCTGGGGCCGTGTCCGTGACAGCTGTGCCCTGTCCCCGCAGGTGCTGTCGATGGCAACGATGACGATGCAGCTGGGTGGGCTGATACTGGCCGTGCTGGGCTGGCTGGGCTCCATCCTCACCTGCGCGCTGCCCATGTGGAAGGTGACGGCCTTCATTGGCTCCAACATCGTGGTGATGCTGTCCTGCAGCAATGCTCCATGCCACACGTGTCCCCATGCCATCCTGCAGCAATGCTCCATGCCACGTGTCCCCATGCTGTCCTGCAGCAATGTCCCATGCCACACGTGTCCCCATGCTGTCCTGCAGCAACGCTCCATGCCACACGTGTCCCCATGCTGGTCTGCAGCCCTTCCCATCCAGATGGCGACAGGATGCACCCAGCATGAAGGCCACGCTCTTCAGAAAGGCCCCTGGCTCTGGGGCCGTGTCCGTGACAGCTGTGCCCTGTCCCCGCAGGTGCTGTCGATGGCAACGATGACGATGCAGCTGGGTGGGCTGATACTGGCCGTGCTGGGCTGGCTGGGCTCCATCCTCACCTGCGCGCTGCCCATGTGGAAGGTGACGGCCTTCATTGGCTCCAACATCGTGGTGGCCCAGGTCTTCTGGGAAGGGCTGTGGATGAACTGCGTGTACGAGAGCACGGGGCAGATGCAGTGCAAGGTCTATGACTCCCTGCTGGAGCTCACTTCTGACCTGCAAGTGGCTCGCGCCTTGGTGATCACCTCCATCTTCGTGGCCTTCTTCGCCTTCCTCACCGCCATCTCGGGCGCAGACTGCACCCGCTGCGTGGATGACAAGAGCACCAAGACCAGGATCTCCATCATGGCAGGTGCCATTTTCGTGCTGGCCAGCATCATGCTGCTCATCCCTGTCTCCTGGTCTGCTAACAGCATCGTCAGCAACTTCTACAACCCCATGGTGCCTGAGGCCCTCAAGAGGGAGCTGGGGGCTGCCCTCTACATTGGTTGGGCCTCCAGTGCCCTCCAGCTCTTTGGCGGGGGCCTCCTGTGCTGCTCGGGACCCCCGTCCCAGCAGGACCCCTACCCCAAGAAGTACAGGGCGGTGAAGAGCTGCAGCCCGATGAGCTACGCCATGAAAGACTACGTGTGAGCGACCACACCCGGGCGCCAGCCCAAGGGAGAGCACCACTGTCCCTGTCCTGCCTCCACATGCCACCCCCCCCCCCCCCCCACCCCCTGCCCGCCCCCCCCCTGCCTCGCCGCCC